GGATGGTTCAACATCCGCAAATCAATCAATGTGATACACCATATCAACAAAACGAGCAATAAAAACCACATGGTCATCTCAATAGATGCAGAGAAGGCATTTGACAAGATCCAACATCAATTTATAATAAAAACTCTCAACAAAATGGGTATAGAAGGAAAGTTCCTTAACATAACAAAGGCTATTTATGACAAACCCACAGCCAACATCATACTCAACGGAGAAAGTCTGAGAGCCATTCCTCTCAGAACAGGAACGAGACAAGGCTGCCCACTCTCACCACTCTTATTCAACATAACTCTGGAGGTTTTGGCCAGAGCAATTAGGCAAGAAAAAGGAATAAAAGGAATCCGAATAGGCAATGAAGGAGTGAAACTCTCACTATTTGCAGATGACATGATTTTATATATAGAAAACCCTAAAGAATCCACTGGAAAACTATTAGAAATAATCAACAACTACAGCAAAGTCACAGGGTACAAAATCAACCTACAAAAATCAGTTGCATTTTTGCATGCTAATAACAAACTAACAGAAAGAGAGCTCAAAATGATAATACCATTTACAAGTGCATCAAAACAAACAAAATATCTAGGAATAAATCTTACCAAGGAAGTGAAAGACCTACACAATGAAAACTACAAGACATTATTGAAAGAAATCGATAATGACATAAAGAAATGGAAAGATATCCTATGCGCATGGATTGGAACAATAAACATAGTTAAAATGTGTATATTACCTAAAGCAATCTACAGATTCAACACAATCCCAATCAGAATCCCAATGACATTCTTCATGGAAATAGAAAAAAGAATACTAAAATTCATATGGGGCAACAAAAGACCCCGAATAGCTAAAGCAATCCTAAGAAAAAAGAACAAAGCTGGAGGTATCACAATCCCTGACTTCAAAACATACTACAAGGCAAGAGTAATCAAAACGGCATGGTACTGGTACAAAACCAGACACACAGATCAATGGAACAGAATTGAAAGCCCAGAAATAAAACCACACACATACGGACAGCTAATTTTCAACAAAGGACATACAATGGAGAAAGTAAAGTCTCTTCAATAAGTGGTGTTGGAAAAACTGGACAGCCACATGCAAAAGAATGAAAGTGGACCATCTGCTATCGCCATTCACAAAAATTAACTCAAAATGGATCAAAGACCTGAAGGTGAGACCTGAAACTATGAAACTCATAGAAGAAAATATAGGCAACACACTATTTGACATTGGTCATAAAGGAATCTTTTCAGATGCCATGCCTAGTCAGACTAGGGAAACTAAAGAAAAAATAAACAAGTGGGACTTCATCGGATTAAAGCTTAAAGAGCTTGTACAAGACAAACGAAACCAGGATCAAAATGAATAGACAACTCACCAGCTGGGAAAAAATATTTGCAAAACATATATCTGACAAGGGGTTAATCTCCATAACATATAAAGAACTCACACAACTGAACAACAAAAAAACAAACAACCTGATCAAAAAATGGGCAGAGGAAATGAACAGACACTTCTCCAAAGAAGATATACAGATGGCCAATAGGCACATGAAAAGATGTTCAACATCACTAATCATCAGGGAAATGCAAATCAAAACAACACTAAGATATCACCTCCCACCCATTAGAATGGCTACAATCACCAAGACAAAAAACAGCAAATGCTGGAGAGGATGTGGAGAAACAGGAACCCCCTTACACAGCAGGTGGGAATGCAAACTGGTGCAGCCTCTATGGAAAACGGTATGGAGATTCCTCAAAAAATTAAAAATAGAAATACCCTATAATCTGGCTACCCTACTACTGGGAATCTATCCAACAAACCTGAAATGAACAATCCAAAGAGGCTTATGCACCCCTATGTTCACTGCAGCATTATTCACTATAGCCAAGAAGTAGAAGCAACCCAAGTATCCCTCGACTGATGAGTGGATCAAGAAAATGTGGTATATATGTACGATGGAATACTACTCAGCCATAAAAAAAAGACAAAATTGTCCCATTTGCAACAACATGGATGCACCTGGAGGGTATTATGTTAAGCAAAATAAGCCAGAAAGGGAAAGACAAACACCACATGATTTCACTCATATGTGGAGTATAAACCAACAGAGGGTCAGAGAGAACTGTATTGTGTTTACCAGGGGCAAAGGGGGTGGGGGGTGGGCACAAAGGGTGAAGGGAGACATGTATACGGTGATTGACAAACAAAAATGTACAACCAAAATTTCACAATGTTATAAACTATTGACATCAATTAAAAATAAAATTAAAAATAGAACTACCATAGAATCCAGAATTCCACTTCTGGGTATTTACCTCAAGGAAACAAAAACACTAACTTGAAAAGATAGCTGCACCTCCATGTTCACTGCAGCATTATTTACAATAGCCAAGAATATGGAAGCAACCTAAGTGTCCACAGATGAATGAATCGATAAAGAAAATGTGGTGTAATGTAATATTATTCAGCCATAAAAAGGAAGGAAATCTTGCCATTTATAACAACATGGGTGGACCATGAGGGCATTATGCTAAGTGAAATAAGTCAGACAGAGAGGGACAAATACCATATGATCTCACTTATATATGGAATCTATAAAAAATAAAGAATTTATAGACACAGAGAACAGATTGGTGGTTTCCAGAGGCAGATGGTCGGGGGTGGGCAAAATGGGTGAAGGGAGTCAAAAGGTACAAACTTCCACTTATAAAATAAATAAGTCCTGGGGATGCAATGTATAGCATGGTAAGATAGTTAATAATACTGTGTTGTATATTTGAAAATAGCTAAGAGAACAGATCTTAAAAGTTCTCATCATGAGAAAAAAAATTTGTAACTATGTGTGGTGACGGATGTTAACTAGACTTGTGGTGATCATTTCACAATATATGCAAATATTGAATCATTATGTTGTATGTCTAAAACATATGTCAATTATATCTGAATAAAAAAAGAAATACAAGTAAAATAATGCTGTAGAAACACAGACAAATATATACCAAATAAAAAGTGAACAAAGCTAACACAAAATTGTATGTATATCAATTTAAACTATATTAAATACAAATTAATAGATTAATGACGAAAGAAATTTCAAAAAATTACTTAGTTTTTGCGTTTAGGATTATGAGAATTAAGATTTTTTATTATTGTTTAAAGTTTACTCAGAAGATATTTTAAGGTTGAATTAATATAAAATAGCAACACTAAATAATTAGATAAGTGTATAATTAAATAAAACCATAGATACCAGAGGATATTGTCACTCAAATAAAATAACTGTGAATACGAGGCATCTATAAATTGGTTGTTAATTTCCTCAAAATTGGTTATAAAGCACTACTAAGAAGCCTACACGGAAACAATTACAAAATAAATAAATACATACATACACACACAAAATCATAAATTACCTGCCACTGGAGGGACAATACCAAAATAACACACTGTTGCATGTTCTCCGTTAACTTCAACTCTTCGACCAATGACATCTGACGTCAATGTGACATTCATTATAATATGGCCAGAATACAAAATATGAGCAGATCTAGGAAGAAAATTACAACATTGATAAGCACTTAATAAAATTCTTTAAAAAAATTTTTTTAACTTCATATAGATATTTATGAGGTCAATGCTTCTGATCAATTTAGTTTTCATATTTTGGTGAAGAGAAGAACCTCATAGGTTTATGTACCATACTCTAATAATTTGATTTTACTTATTGTCTAACTATATTGTGATAATAAAATCTATTTTTAAATCTTGTTTAACTCCAGTTAGCTCACATCACATGACTTGTCTATTTTGTCACTTACTGCAAGGGGTGAGAAGAAAGGAGAATAGAGAAAGTACAGAGAGCTTAAAAGAAACTTAAGAGATATGCCAACTAAATGCAATGTATGGACTTTATTTGGATGCTAATTTTAAAAAACTGTAAATAATTTTAAAAATAAAGAAATTATGAGAAAATTGAAAATCTGAACACTGACTAGATATTTGATATTTAAGAATAACTGTTTCCAATAAGGCTAATAAGAAATCAATTACTTTGAAAAAAAAAGAAAGAATAATTGTTAAATTTTTAGCTGTGATAACATTATAATGCTTACGATCTTTTCAAAAGCCTTTTATCTGAGCCAGCCCTGATGGCCCAGGGGTTAAAGTTCAGCGCTCTCACGGCTTTGGCGGCCTGCGTTCCTTTCTCGGTTGCGGAGCCATAGCACCCGTCTGTCAGTTGCCATGCTGGGGAGGCAGCACATATAGAACTAGAACGGCTTACAAGTAGGATACACAACCATGTACTGGGGCTTTCGGAAGAGGAAAAAAGCCTTTATCTTTTACAAATACACATTAAAATATTTACAGATTTTAAAAAGTTGTATTCTAGATATATCATGCCAGTGGCAGTATAGACAATACATTGAAATGAAGTAAGAAGCCAAGTGGCCAGAGAAATCTTGCTGTAATTCAGGTGAAAACAATGAGAGCCTGAGCCAAGGCACTGGTCTCCATCCGTTCATTCAACACACACTAAGCCCTGACTACATGCTATCTACTGAGCTGGACCTTACATCATAGTAAACCACACATGTGTGAGTCCTACCTCAGAAGCTTACAGCCCAGTGGCAGTTAGACCTGAGAGAAGAGTATAGATTGTAAAGAGAGTTAAGAGCTAGAATCAACAGGGTTTGGTGATTAATTGGATAGAAATGATAAAACAGAAGACAGGAAGACTCTCAATATCTTTTCTCAGGTAGATGGTGGTGCCAGACCCCAAAATATAAGAGGAAGTTTACATTTGGGAGAGAAGACAGTGAGTCTGAGGTCATGATGGACATGGATCTCTAGTTCAAAAGGCATTTTGCATTTGAAATGTGTATCCGGGAATCATCAGCACAATTTATAACTGACACCATGAAAGGAGATAAGATTGAAAGTGTATTAGGTGGAAAGAAAAGAGATCAATGACACAACTCTGGGGAAATATAATATTTAAAAGGGAGAGGGAGGAAACTCCTAAGAAGTCAGAGGAGGAAAAGCCAGACAGGATAAAAGAAAACCAGATTCCTGGAGTCTTGGAATCCAAAGGCAGTAGGAATAACAGAGCAACAGTATCAGAGGCTGCAGAGAGCTTCTGTGAGACCAGCGCTTAAAAACTTTGTGTTCCTTCTGCTAGCACAATATGGTTTACAGCTATACCGTCATCTTTGCCTAAATGTAACAATGCAAGGATTTTGAAACCACCACAAGTTACAGGACTATTGAACAAAGTTCTACTTTAATAATATTACCATACAATATGTGTACAAAATAAGAAAAACATATATTGCTAATCACACCTTCTGGGGTTAAAGTCACATTCTTGATTACTCACAAACTCCACTAACAGGTAGATGGCTGAGGTCTTTAGTATTATTACTTCTCTACCTTTATGTTATCCTTTTTAAAGAAACAGTAGACATTTCTTCTATTACTGGTGTTGTCTGTGTCACATTTGACCTGCTGTTCCCATAAAACAGAATAATCTGAACATTTTTATCTCTTATCAAATTTCAGTATTGGGTTCTTTCAATCAAGTTCTCTAGTTTCTCATTAAAAATTTTTTCCCAATTCTTGTGACAAGAACCCTGTTTCAAAATGGGGCTGAATTTTGACTATTTAAATATGTGAGGACAGGGCAGTCAGGAAGGAGCCAAGATCCAGATCTAAACCTACACAGTAGGGTTGCAAAAGAGAAAAGCAAAAGAGAAATCATCCCAGAACCTAAACTTGGTGGGAAAAATCAGAGTTCAGATGATTTGATGGTAAAATCAATCAGCTGGTAGAGGCAGGCAAGGGGAAGCCATGTGTTGATCAGCCCAGACACAGATACAGGCAGCAGCTAAGAGGTCTGGTCAGTTGGTAGGGCCCTACTCACAAGCTTGTGTTCAGATGCACAGTTCTAGTTCCCGAGGAGAGAACCTAGTAAGATCCACGTAGAACCCCATTCCTAAGAGTTAGAGTTAACTTCCTAAAGAAGTTAAAGCAGTGGGCCGAATCTTGGTTTCATGAACTGGAGTGCATGGGAGTTATCCAAATCCAGAAACTCACAACCAGCTCAGCCCAAGGGTACCACCTTGTAGATCAGGCCAACAGTGAGAATGGCTTGGTGAGAAGAACGGGGCAGTGGTCAACTGGTGAGTAGGGAAAACAAGTGGCACAATAGCAGAAATGAGGAATGAAGACACTAGGAAGTCATTCTCATTATTCCTTTAACAAGTATAAGCAATTCATGAATTATAACATTCCTTCACGTGCTCAATCCTATCTGATCTCTAGCAGCAATTCTTTTCCTTCTCACCAGTATGCTGTGCCCACAGGACCTGAGATCGTTAGGTATAAGGTGTCTAAAGTCAGTTAATTAATTGGCTCCACATTAAGTCATTATTATTATTTTTCTTAATTTTTTATTTATTTATTTTTTTCCCCCAAAGCCCCAGTAGATAGTTCTATGTCACAGTTGCACATCCTTCTAGTTGCTGTATGTGGGACGCGGCCTCAGCATGGCCGGAGAAGCGGTGCGTCAGTGCGCGCCTGGGATCTGAACCCGGGCCGCGAGCAACGGAGCACGCACACTTAACCGCTAAGCCACCGGGCCAGCCCTAAGTCATTATTTTTGATGATCCTGCCCAGTCTCTCAACCCTTCTGAAAATGTTTTTTGATGCTGTGATCTTCTGTGAGAATACAGAAATTGGATTCTTGTCTTAGTGACCTATGCCTTGGTTACAAAGCCTTTACCCTCTCCCTCTGGCCAGTCACCTAATGAGTCGTTTCCTGTTGTTAGACTTCATGCCAAGTTAGTGGCCCACCCTGGACCTCCACTGCCTGTTCCAACACCATCACTTTCATCACCCTCAACCCAGGCTCACCCCAGCCCCCCATTTTAGTGTCTAGTCAAACTGTCCTGAAGTCAGCTGCTCCCCTGGTTAGATTTTCTCTAGTTTCCTGCAGTGGGCCTTCTCCTAATCACCTAAACGTGAGTGACATGTCACTGTTTCTTGGTTAGTTTCATCAGGGGGGGCCAACCAAGCCTTGGTTAAGATGAATGCCTTTTACTTAAATACACATGCTCACTAATTAATAGAAATAGCCCACTTAATTTTGCAGTGACTCTATTTGTTAGAGTCACTGCAAAATTTTAAAGAATAGTTCTTTAAAAAAGAGATGAAATATACCTCCCTATCATTTTCATCCACTGATTTTAGTACTGACCTCTGCAGCTATAGAGAATCAAACTATTCTTCTTCCCAGCTGACATCTAAATATTTGAAGGCCACCATTATGTTATTATATCTCCTTTCTCCTCTTCCTGGCCCCACCTCCCAACACTCTTTACCAGGGTAAACATACCCAGCTCCTTAAATCATCCTCATGTGAATTCCAAGTTCTCCCTCATAATTCATTCACTGATTCTTTTCTTAAAATATAATACCGGGGCCCGCCCCGCAGCTTAGTGGTTGAGCGCGTGCGCTGTGCTGCTGGAGGCCGGGGTTCGGATCCCGGGCGCGCACCAATGCACTGCCTCTCCGGCCATGCTGAGGCTGCGTCCCACATACATGCAACTAGAAGGATGTGCAGCTATGACACACAACTATCTATTGGGGCTTTGGGGGGAAAAATAAATAAATAAATAAAATCTTTAAAAAATATATATATATAATACCTAAAACTGAAAACCATATTCCACATGTGGTGTGACCTATGTGTGGGTTCAATGGTCTGGACACCATTCAGCTAATAATGTAGCCTAAGATTATAGTCGCTTTTCCCCCTTTTCATGGGAAAGACTGTTGCTTACTATTAAGATTGCAATGAAATAAACTCCACAGCCATTTTTGTGTTACTATCACCTTCTAATCATAAAATTAAAATGTTTAAATTTCACTATAATTACATTACCCTAAAAAATAGTTTTCACTAGTTTTAAACACCAATTCTATTTTCATTAAGGTGTAAAAAGAATTTTTTTTTTTTCCTCCCCAGTACATAGTTGTATATTGTGGGTCCTTATAGTTCTTCTATGTGGGACGCTGCTTCAGCATGGCCTGATGAGCCGTGAGTAGGTCCACACCCAGAATCCGAACTGGCGAACCCTGGGCCGCCAAAGCGAAACTCTCGAACTTAACCGTTACGCCACCAGGCCGGCCCTAGAATTTTATTACAATTGAAATAGATATGTAATTTCTATTCTACTTCTTTTATTAACATTCTGTAAACATTTTTCTATACAGCCACAGAATCATCATATTAATCACTTTGATATCAACATGTAGATACCACAATTTACTCAATCATTTCTCTATTGGTATGTGTTTTCCTTGTTTACCATCCCAAAGAAAACACCTAAAAACATTTTTCATTTTTCAGTTATTACTGTCTTTTGAAGTATTTCCTTGGGAAAAATGAGACAGTTATTCAAAGTAAATAAATATAATTTAAAATTCTAGAAAGCCATGGACAAATTGTCCATCATAAAAAAAGTTAATTATTGACACTGACACCAAGAGAAAATCTACTTGTTTATTTGTTTCTACAAAGTCTTATGAATTCCTATCAAAAGCTTTCAAATCAGGTCTTCTCTATCTTGTACTTGTACAACTAATTTTTGAAGTAGGACTTATTACATTATAATATTATGTATAAATGTAGGACTTACTTTTATACATATTAAACATTCAATAATCCACCATATTAACTCTCTCTCCCAGCTTTGTCTTGTGCAATTTTTGTAAGAATGAAGGCAAAAAAGAATATAAGACCCTGACCAAAGACAGAACCCATACAGACTGTGGGTCAAACTTTTTAGTTACAAGTCCTCCTATTATCCAGCTCACATTCAAGAAGATCATGAACTTTGTGAAATGCTTCACTGAAATCAAAATACACTGTCAGTCAGGGAATATACTCTGTCAACCAGACAGAGCAGGAATGGGGGAAGAGAAGGGACACTGTCACTTTTTTTTTTTTGGTGAGGGAAGATTAGCCCTGAGCTAACATCTGTTGCCAATCCTCCTCTTTTTGCTGAGGAAGATTAGCCCTGGGCTAACATCTGTGCCCATCTTCCTCTACTTTATATGTGCGATGCTTGCCACAGCATGGCTTGATAAGCGGTGTATAGCTCTGTGCCTGGGCTCTGAACCTGCAAACCTTGGGCCATCGAAGCAGAGCACACAAACTTAACTACTACGCTACTGGGCTGGCCCCGACACTGTCCCTTTTTAACTTATAAACTTCTGAGTTGAATGAATATTTTTAAAATGAGTAGTTTTTATATTGCCTATTAATAATGAGAAGGAGGAAAAAGAGGAGGCTGATGATGAAAAGAGGGAGGAAATATTGCGCTCTTCTCTACAAATTTCCCTGGCTTGCCAGGGAATCACAATCCAAACAAAAAAAATGAGGTAAATTTAGCAAGACTCACTAAACTCTTCCTAGCTCCTTAGGATTACTACTTTTCTAAATGTTCACAGAACATCTTTCCTAGAAATTATAACTCCCCTTGTTCATTACTCCTCAAAGATTATGGACAGGAAATTCTGCAATCATATTTGCCAGTTCTTTCATAAATTACTAGATGTAATTTCTCTTAGAATGGAGACGAATTCAAAATGATCAAATATTATCCTACCTCTTTTTATCTTCAACATGCTTTTAACGAGATTTTTTTTTTGGACAAGTCTGGAATCATTCTGCATAAAAATGACAAAAGATAGAAAATTGAATCAATCTGCCATTTTCCTGTCATCTCTTATACTACATTAAAAATAATTTTAAAAGATGAAGCAAAGGCAAAATATTAACATTAAATAAAGGCAATAAATATATGAGTGTTAATTATATTTTTCTTTCCATTTTTCTATGTTTAAAAATGTTCAGGATTTAAAGTTAGAAGAAATATATTACTATACCTAAGGAGTAGACTTTCTTATAGTACTTTTTAGTCTAAATCAATCCCAAAAGCTTCCTTTTTTTTTTTTTCTTGTGAGGAAGACTGGCCCTGAGCTAACATGTATTGCCAATCTTCCTCTTTTTGCTGAGGAAGATTAGCCCTGGGCTAACATTCGTGCCCATCTTCCTCTATTTTGTATGTGGGATGCCGCCACAGCATGGCTTGATGAGTGGTGCATAGGTCTGCACCCAGGATCCGAACCTGCGAACCCTGGGCCACCAAAGCAGAGAACATGAACTTAACCACTACCATCAGGCTGGCCCCTAAAAGCTTCTTTTCTTGTCTTCACATTTTTCACAAGTTAATTTTGAGGCTCAACCTCACTGATATTTTTCTTAAGAGGTCTGTTCAAGCATCTAAAAGTCATTGGTTAGAGACTGCCTCCTTTTCCATTTTAGTAATCCCCTTTGTATTTTTCTATGCATATCCTTCTCACTTAATTCTTTGAGTAGATGAAACTCAAAAGTATGAAAAGGAATACACTGCAAGTTCTCCTTCCACTCCTGCTAGTCATTCTCTGGCAATAGCTTTATTAGTATCATATATACTTCCATACATATTTTATGCTTATACAAGCAAACATATTCTTTTTCTTTCTTTACACAAATGATAGCATATTATATATGTGGTTCTATCCCTTATATTTTCATTCAATAATATATCCTGTTTCCTACATGGTCTTAACACTGAGATAACTACATAATTCCTCAAATAAAATAACTTGAAAAAAATTGAAAGGAAGGATGCAAGCAGATATTTGTACACCTACGTTCATAGTGGTATTAGTCACAAACAGTCAAACGGTGGAAGTAACCTAAATGTCTATTGACGGATGAATGGATAAACAAAATGTAATATATACATACAACAGAATATTATCCAACCTTAAAAAGGAAGGAAATTCTGACATGCTACAACATGGACGAATCTACAGGACATTAAGCTAAGTGAAATAAGCCAGGTACCAAGAGTAGTCAGGTACCGAGGTATCCAGATTAGTCAAATTCATAGAGACAGTAGAATGGTGGTTGTCAGGGCCCACAGGAAGGGGGAAGTAGGGAGTTGTTTAATGGCTACAGAGTTTCAATTTTGCAAAATGAAGAGAGTTCTGGAGACAAACAGTGGTGATGGTTGCACAACAATGTGAATGTGCTTAACACTACTGAACTGTACATTTAAAAATGGTTAAGATGGTAAATTTTATGTTATCTGTATTTTACCACAATTAAAAAAGTAATTTGAAATTTAATTCCCAATATTTCAGGTTTTACAGAACTTTGATTTGTTTCAGCTTTAATTGGGACACTGAATCATTAAGAGTAAGGTATTTCTTCTCCATTTTTCAAAATAAACTTTCCTAATGCCCAAGGAAGCAGTTTGATTATATTCAACATTTTATTCATTTGGGAAAACTCTCAAAAATAACAGAGTTTCTTTTCCCACAATATTTCAGGTTCTTCCACTTCCCCTGTTTCTTCCTCCTTCTTGAGAATTCAAACCAAAGGAATCTTTCCTCTCATTTTGTTTCTTCCAAGGAACTTCCATGGTCCAAATATATATATATATATATATCTCAAGTCTTTTCCAAAATATATATATATCTCAAGTCTTTTCCCGAGAAAAGAATGGGCCTCCAGCAGAATTTAAGATCACAACTCTTATGTTAATGCCACTTTTATACTCTGTATTAGGGGAGCAACAACATTGTTCTCCTTCTTACCAAATGATCTATAGCATAACCTATAGATCTCTTCTACTTCTTATTCCTTTTGTTGTCACTTGTGTTTATCACCCAAATGCCACTGCTCTTGGCTCCAAACAAGTATATATATCTTCCTGATATACACACTTCATCTCTCAAATCTTGTATTGGATTGTTTTGAACAAAGACATATATTTCCATTCCAATAATAAGCCTAGCCGTGCAAATTTCAGTGATATTCATGGTACTGCATACATCTTCCTAGAATGGAAGCTTGAGACCACAAGTTCAGGTACCATGCTTTTGCCACAAAATCTCTTTCTAAAATCTTCTGGCTATTTCAGTACTTTGGTTACATATCACACTCTTTCTTCTCAACAGCATCCAATTTCAATAGTTTCACGAGCAATTCTTCCCCCTCTTTATAAAATTTTAGTATCCATTCTTCTCAGTTATGTTTTCTTGATTCCTACTGGAAATTACTTTTCCCAATTCCTATGAGAGACAGAATACTTTAGAATGGAGCTGATCATTATCTGGGAAGACAAGAAAGAAGGAGATGGGCCAGGATCAGAGTTATTATATATGTTTATTAGGAATAAAAGATGGGGGCCGGCCCCGTGGCTTAGCCGTTAAGTGCGCGCGCTCCGCTACTGGTGGCCCGGGTTCGGATCCCGGGCGCGCACCAACGCACTGCTTCTCCGGCCATGCTGAGGCCGCGTCCCACATACAGCAACTAGAAGGATGTGCAGCTATGACATACAACTATCTACTGGGGCTTTGGGGGAAAAAAATAAAATAAAAATAAATAAATGTCTTCCCCTTTAGAAAAAAAAAAAAAAAGGAATAAAAGATGGGAGGGAATATATGTCAGTGGTTAAGTCAAGACCACCAGAAATTCAGACTGGAGGGAGGTGATATTTGGCATTAATGGATTTAAGAAAACATTGATGGCTCTCCCAAAAAGTGGGGAGAGCACAATAATGCACAGTCCAAGTGGATATTTCTCAGAAACCCAAAGTCTGCATCTAGGAAGCCTGGTCAAAGAAACAGTACAAGTCATGAGCCTGGGGATCAGGGGCAATTAACAAGAGCAGAGTGGGACTTCATTCTCATCAAGAAGTTGGAGCACTAGGCTGATTACCTGTACAGAGCCTAAGCAAGGTGTTCTTTACCTGAGGTCCATGAACTCTCAAGGTATCTTCTAACTGAAAATTTTCACTAACTTCTAACTGAAATTTAGCATTTTCCTAAATTATGAACACAGGCAAAAAAATTAGTTGGATTAGCAGTACCTGTGATCACAAATATTTCATCACATTACAACTATTACAGATATCTCAAACTATACTGTACATTCATCACTATTTCAAAATTACAATATTTATTAGACCTGCCACTACATTTTGTCATTTAATATCTTAATATACATATTATTATATCACAATTTTTTAAAAGTATTTTGATAACTTTGTTTCACATAACTGATTTCATTTGAAGTCCTATATATTTTCTGTATTTAAAAACATTCTAAGGAGTTCACAGGCTTTATCAGACTGCTAAAGGGATCTTTACCTTTGATGAACAATCAATTAAGAAAACTGGAGGACATGAGAGGAATTTGGTGGTGTCTCCAGCATCAACAAAGCAAATTATTGAAACTAAATTATATAGCACTTTACAAACTGCTTTCATTTTCCTCATCTAAATTGCACAATATTGATTCAAAATTTTAACCATTTCTTTACCTCTTTGTTGTTGTTTTTGTTGAGGAAGATTGGCAGTGAGCTAACATCCATTGCCAATCTTCTCTTTGCTTGAAGGAGACTGGCCCTGAGCTAACATCTGTGCCAATTCTCCTATTTCATATGTGGGTTGCCACCAGAGCATGGCTTGATGGGTGGTGTACGGCCGCGCCCGGGATCCAAACCTGCCAACCCAGGCTGCTGAAGCAGAGTGCGCCAAACTTAACTACTACACCACTGGGCCAGCCCCAACAATTTCTTTAATTCTTCTAAAAATAACTGTGTTATTTTTTAAGAGTGGAAGAATCTTAACCTGGGAAAGACAACTGAACAAACAGCAGGAGCTCCATCTATACTACTGAAATGGTTCTCATGTATTTTCTGTTTTTAGCCCAGCATCTTTCCCTTTAGAGACGTGCATTCTCTCTGCCCGGTCGGCTGTCACTCACCCACCACAGGAGTGGACACATGGCCAGGACGGCCAATCTAATGACTCCTCACCTCTGTTTCCTTGCATAAAGCAATTGGTCCAAGTGTGAAGATCCTAACCCAAGCAGAGCCAATCTTAGGAAACGACATGGGCCCTTGAAGAGAGGATCCATCTCTTGCATTCCCAAGACCTTAAAAAAAAGGACCACTTAAAACTGGAATAGCTGAAGGGCATCTTCGTCATTCTTTGGGAAAACACTTGTCTGAAAATAAGGCCAAACAGGAAAGGAGAGTTGATCCAGCTATGCCTAAAGCCTTTCATTAGCCCGGTTCAATGAACCCCTAATTCCTTGTTTTGTTTACATCAGTTTGAGCTGGGTTTCTTTCTCCGGCAACTGAAAGAATCTTGAAAAATACATAAAAATTTAGGTCATATTTGTTCCTATTTAATGTTATATGGACATTATATGCAGCCAGTCTGCTGGATACTAATTCCATCTCTCCCACTATATGCTAGCTATGGGACACCGGGTCATTTAACCTGTGTCTCAGTTTCCTCATCTGTAAAATGTAAATATTAGGACCTACTTCATAGGGCTGTTGTGAGAATTAAATGAGTTATTAGGTGTGGAAGAGCTCAACATGTAGTAAACAGTCAATAAATGTCAGCCATTAAGATCATAAGGATCTTAATGATTATGATCTTAATCATTAAGATTAAGATCATTAAGATCATAGTTTTTGTATTTAGATAAAGGGAAAATATTCCATAAATCCAAAGCAATATATTACAAGGTCAGAATAACAGTTGCTGACCTGGGGAAGTTTAA